ACTTAGAATTGAATGACAAAAAAAAAAGTTATACACTGTGAAATTTTCTAGAAATTACCGAAAATCATAAAAATCAAAGTTCGATTCTAAGAATTTCATTTCACAACGAAATAATTTCATTAGAATGAAAAATTTGTAAGAAACTGGTTGCAATTTTCTATAAAGTTCTCACACAAAATCTCATTATATTAAAAAGAAATTATGGGGATACACAATAAAAAATATAATTTTCTAAAGGATAAAAACAAGTATTGTGAATATATTGGGGAAATGGGATAAATTTCTCGTTTAAAATGGTCTTAATAAAATTATTTAAAAAATAATTTGTTTAAAAGTTTTTACATTTACAAAATTTTTTCAAAATACTTTTTTCCCATTATTAGTTTTTTAAAAGTTTTTAGCAAGTCAAACGTGTTATATAGATAAAATGGTAAATAAATATTAATTAGCCATATACATATAAAGTGTATATGAAATTTAAAATAATTGAATTTAAAAATTTGGTACAATAACTTTGCCAGCTAAACTTTGCCAGCTAAACTTTACAAAATATAATTTTATCTATTTGATCTATTTTAAAGTACACGATTATAAACTTTGTAAAACTTTATTTTAACGCCACTAAAAAAAATGACTTCAAAAGATCATAAAAAAGGTCACATAATAGGTCGGTTATACGTGCTGTTATGGGTATTACAAGGCTTTGTAAAACCTGAAAAATTTTGTTTCAACGTAGATGTTTTTTGTAGATGTAATAATGTAATATTTTCCATAATCCACAAGTGTAGAGATTATTAAAAGATTAAATTTCTGTATTATAGAAAAACATTGTTAGACAAAAATCTTCTCAGTATTGTATATTTTTTAAAATTATAAAAAAACGGTAAGAATAAATTAATAAACCTTAACAAATTTCCTTAAAAAATTATGAAAAAAAGTATACCGGCAGATCATAATTAAATTATTGAGTCAAAGGAGAATGATTTATAATAGAAGTGTACACAACCAATTATGAAGAAGAGCATGAGTTTTAAATTTTTACTGTCGTCCGTTTGTCAAAAAATAAAATTCACTTTTAATTATAGATCTTCTAAGCTGCGGAAGAGGAAGTTTTTTATGACTTATTTATATTCAAAACCAAAAATATTTTTAAAATTCAGTAAATATGGCAAAATTTATTACTTCTATAAAATTTAAATCGAGTTTATTTCTTCAAAAGAAGCAATTTGATTCTTTATTTTAGTACTTTAGTAGTGCACCTATAGTATTAATACTTTTTAATAATATTTCCCAAATTTGATTAATTTACAATATTTTGAAAACAATATTTTGTATATATTGAATATGCAATATTTTAATTAAAAAAAAACTTGTAATTAATAAAGATAATTCAGAAAAAGGCAAACACTAAAACCTAATGTTTAGGTTTTATTCAACACTGTGAACCAAGCCATTATAGTATTTTTAAATGAGGCTGACTTAGACACAATTCAATATTGAATATAGACGAATAGGAAATATTAATTTACGACCATATGTAAGTTAAGTAAAATATAAAATTTAAACATTTAGAATTCAAATTATTTAAACGATATTTTTACAATGTCATTTTGCTTAAAATGCAACCTTAAGGATTTGGTTAAAATGCAATCCTAAGAAATAATTCTTATATATCAACTTGAATACAATTAAATATAATATTCTAATATGTGACACCAAGATTGTTTTTTCCGCAATAATTAAAACAATTATATAATATTTTATTTTTCTCAATAAATCTTAAACCGTAGAAAATACGAAGATATGATTGATATGCAAAATTAAAGGTCAATTTACAGGAATTCCATAAGTTGCAATGTCACGTCTTAGACAAAAATTAAATTTATGTGAATATTAAATCAGAAGAAATTATAACTAACGTAAATATTCATGAGAAAGGCAATTAGTTCTGAGGTTTCATAAACTTTTTATGAATTTATTTTACATATTTCCTAATATTCTAATTATACCATAAATCACTTTTAACCATATACATTCATCTAAGAAAAAAAACGTGGTTACACTTATACTTTTCAAAAATTACAAAAAATTAAAAAGAATTGGTTAGGCTGCGGTCAAACAAAAGTTTTACTTACTCAAGAATATCTTTACAATGGTATATTGCAGTGTACTTTGAAATGACACACACACACTCTACAAAATTAATATATTTTTAACAATTGTTTCAAGCATTTATATCAACTATTTCTGTGCGTTGTATAATAGCAAACAAAACATGTCATATACACTACACGATATTTCAATTATCACACTTTGAAAATATTTAATAATAAAATAATTTTAATTTTTTTATGCAATCAAACAATTGGTTTACATTTTTGAAAGAATTTCTTGAAATATACTGTATAATATTTTTTGCCATTTAATTTTCTTTACTAAATGTATATTATACGGAAAAATATTAAAAAAATTTTTCGTAAAATATCATTAAAAAATTGATGCAGTATACATTCATACATACATATGTATTTTAACATTACCCGTTATTATCCTTACAGATAATTCTTTAAATTTTGATTCAAAGTTTGAATTCGGAAATGTCCACAATTAATTACAAGTAATGGAAAAAAATATAGTATAAAAAATTTATAATGAACGCCTTTTTTTTGTAATTATCCTTTTTTAATTCACACTATTATTTCAATAAAATGGTAGTTAATATTGGTTATCCCCCATAATAAATTAATAAAGAAAATAATTTTCTCAAATTTATTGAATTTGACTTTTAATTAAATATGCTTGAGTATATACAAATGCGTTCATTTTTGTAAACATTTGGGAATAAACCTCCCTTCAATATAATGAAATCATTAATTTCAAATTAAATAAGATAATTTGGCTTTAAAACAAACAAACGTCTTAAAGGAGATATTTCCTCTTCACTAAATCAAGCACGATACACTAAAAAATAATTTTCATTTTAAGAACAAGAATTTTTTTCATTTCTTGTATATTTTCACTAAGTTGATCCCATAATTATTTTATATTTCTTTTTATTTTTTCTCTTATATACAATGTGGTTTATTAGTTTTAATTAATTCATGCTTATACGTATATGTAAAAAGTAAAAGTTTAATATTATACAAAAACATATTAGTTGTATACAAATCTTGAAATAAAGGTTAAGATTATAAGGTCAAAAACTTTTTATGTTCCATTTTCTATATCGCATTACATATTTTTAGTGGATTTCCAAAAACACTCTAAAAATGTGGGCTCCTTTTGTTTCATTCTAACCGTCTGTTGTACTTGTCGATCCATGTGTCTTTTTACAAAATTTCTAATGTATAATACACAGTAAGCTGAAATTTTATATGCGAGTACATTAAAATGACAATGAAGCTCATTTCGTGGAAGAACGGACTTCACATCTCAGCAAAAATTAGGCCTATTAAAGTCCTAAAAATTAACAGAAACAACAAACATAATTAAAATTCACAAACGCAAAAAAATTTAACAAACCAACTGAGAAGTAGGATAATCTACCGTGAAGTGTCATAAAAAAACTTTTTAAGGAAGCAGAAATTAGGGTTTTTTTTCTTATTTTTCCTTATTTCTCTCAAATTTCTATAAAATCAAAAAACTGTAGCTGTAATCTTGCCATTGAAAAATAATAATTATTTATCTTAATTCAATAATTATTTATCTTAACTCAATCATAGTTATTTTTCTCATCCTGACGTTATGTAACAATTATTAATTGAGTTTTTTCTTGTTCAAAGGAAATTTCCTACTTTCCAAGCATATTACAAACATTTTATCTAAGGTGAAAATGAAGAAAATATTATGACTCATTTTATTTTTAAGTTTACCAAGGTATATAGAAATTAATGAAATTTTTACCCTATAAAAGTTATTGCACTAATAAAAAAAGGTATTACAAAATGAATTAAACTAAATCTGGAAGTAAATTTTTTTTTGTGTATAATAATCTCAACTAAATAGGTAATTTAAGAACTGCAGATAGTTTATGAAGTCAATTTTATGTCAAATTTAAAAAATAAAATTTCTTTACGAACTTGTTAATATTATTTTATCAAATTTAGCTTTGAACATAATTTACAGTGGAATATCAAAATTTAAGAGTTAATCTTATATAATACCTCATTATAATAATACAGTGTATAATAAAAAAATAAAGTATCCTACTTATTCTGCTCAATAATTAATTCAGAATTAAAGAAAATAAAGATCCTATTAAGGCTTTGGAGAGGCTTGGAGTCACTACGACAGATGTCTGTCAGGGATGTCAAGATGTTGCGAAGGTTGAGAATGTGAAACCTGTTCCTTGTGTCTGTCTGCCGCTGATGTAAAAAAGGAGACACGTTTTGGGGCTGTTCTTATATATTGATTTTATAGTTACTTATTTTAGCGCCAAGCGGATCTCATTATAAAATTTACACGAATATTAATTTTCCCAATAATACTTAAAGTAAATATTCATTTTATAAATATATTTACACTATGTTCTATTGTATACTCAATTTGTATTGACTAATCTTAATTTGTAATTGACTAATTAAAGGATTTGTATTCAACATCAAATAAAATGCGGGAAAATTGAATAGCATTTCAATTAAAATTTATATTGTAACTTCTACTAATAAAGTTTCAAGTAAAGATTTATTTGTGTATGTATTTTCAGCTTTTTATATTAAAGGGTGTAAAAGTTAAACGGACAGACGGACAGACACAGTGCAACTAAACAGTACTTTTTTCCCAATTATTTCTATATGACGTCAAAAGAAATAAACTGAAATTTTTTTTCTTTTATTAGTGCCATTTATATTTAAATAATTAAACTGTTGCATCTCCAAATTTGTATATGACTCATACTGCATCGCATAACAAAAATGTCGTATTTTTCGTTTTAAATAACAGTTACTTTTGTCGCAATTTTGAATTTTTATAACAATTTCATTTTTTTTTTTTCATTTTAGGATGGTTACGAATACAGTTGTAATAGTAAAACATTAACAAAAATCCCACAAAAATTATTATCAGTTTATAGTTTAACAATTTCCTCAGCTGGAATTGTACAATTAAGAAGTACTGCATTAAGAAAATATGGTGATACCCTAAGAGATATGTAAGTGAAAAATTTAATTCAATAATGTATAAGACTTTTTATTAAAATTACCAACATCATTAAAATAATTATATAGAACACAAATATTAAAATACTAAAATATTATAAAAACATCAATTTTAAAATAAATTTTAAATATAAACACGTGGTAAGTCTTAATACAATAATATGCTCTTAAAATCAAAAACATCAAAATAACTAACCTTCATCAGATATTAAAAATTTTTCACACTATACGTAGGTATTTCCAAATAATTTTTCAATTTATTAATAATCTCTTGTTTTCTTTTTTCACATTAATGATTTATTAAATGAAAAGCTAATTATTTTTTATTTTTAAATTGTAGAACATTAACTGATTTACCCCAATTCGAATGTATACAAGCTGGATCATTTGAGTCAATTAAAAATCTAAGAACAATGTAAGTATAATAATGATAATATAAAAAATAAATATAAAATTATATTCTGTAAAACTTACTTGTATAATATTATTAAAAGAAAAATACAGTAACACCAACTATTGACATATTATTATAATGTGAAATATTTGATACATTGTCAAGAGTTTTTCAATATTTTCTAGAAACGACCCACTTATATATTTTCTAATTAAACGACTCGTTTAAATATATAACGTACATATACAAGAAATTTCTTTAATAATCGAACTATTACTTTGGCGTTAGAAAAATATTTGAATTTAGTTGGTTAATTATATAGAAGTTCTACTGCATTAAGTAATTCGTAAAACAAGAATAAAATGGTAAAATATAAATCGTGAAACCTATACGTACAAGGTAAACGTTGAGTATTTAAAATTTTGAATAATCAATGAATATTATCTAAATGTTGAAAGCTTCTATTTATGTGATTTTAGATTCATATAATGAAAACAACTTAAATAATTAAAATTGTCTATAAATATCTATTTTATCTATATCACATACGGGGTGTTTCACTTACAGTTAATAACTAATAACTATGCATTTTTCACATGTTTTTAAAGCATATTACGCACGTTTCACTGGCAAAACTATGAAAGATAAAGAAAAGTGTTACGTGGGTTAACTTTCAACTTTAATTGTAACGCGTCGAAAAAACAAAATAATAACACGAATTTTCGAAAAAAATCAGATTTTTAAAAAAAAAATTTCAAAACAAAAAAACTAAAATTCTGAATCTGACGTAAGACTGACGTAAGACCGAAAATAAAGAACAATCAATCAATTGTAAAATATGCTCCCGGTGGTAACTCTATGTCGCATGGTACCGAAGTTATAAGCATTTATTTATATGTAGGAAAAATCTGGAATCCTGTTTTGTTATAGGCTAAAGTTCCAAACCAAGTATGTCTGCACTTTCCTTCATACAATTTTTTCCTGTGATAAGAGAACACGCGAAACATTAGATATGTTTGGAACAAATCAAATAGAATATAATATATAAATGTAATTGTATACGAATGAAAAAAAATTGTTGGAGCATTTTATTTCAAAGTTTTTCAGAATATTATAAAAATATTAAGAAAGTAATTTTATATTATTTTTAATACGTAATCGAAATAGGGGGCACTGCATTTCTTAAAAAATTCAATAAAATTTAAATGATTTGCTCTATATAATTAATCGTAATCAAGAATAAGATTCTAGCTTATTTAAATAAGCTACAGATGATTAAAACGTTAATTTTCATTTTATAAAATATTTTCCGAAATTGAAAACCTATTAAAAATTAACCATAAAACAAAAATTAAATATGATGAAAATATTTTATCAGCCTCAGTTATTTTGAAGTGGAAAATAAAAAAAATTCCTATATGTACAAATTAATAACCATTTTTGTAAAATATTAATTGAAAGCATATTGAAACATCATTTGCCATATTTTTTTTTTAAATTAATTCATAAAAAGCTTTTAATAAAAAGGTACTATATTCAAAATTTTTCAAAAGAAAAATGCTGTTTTCAGTCAATAATTAAAATTTTGCCTAAAGAATATAAAATTAATTTAAAAAAGGTTTTTAATTTTTAAAAAAAATGTGAATATAAAGGAATATTAATACTCGTATTACGCCTAAAATATATAAATGAGAATGGGGACTCCCAATAACCGATATAATGATTATTTAAAGCAAAATTTTGAATATATTTATATATAGTAGACCTGAAAGACCCTACGATATTCTATTATTAAAATACCACAGTTAGTAAATGAATATTCTATAAATAAATTCAACCACACATTATGTATATTATTTTGTTTTACATTTAAAATTCCCACAACTATATAATATAGAATTGTGAAAATCCTTATAATATATAAAATAGACCAATTAGAAAACCATAAACTATATACATATATATGCTTATGAGCAAATATAGTTAATAATTTTATTTTCTCTTTTGTTTATTTTAATAATTTTCAAGATATGTCTCAAGTGCTCCGAAATTAACAAATTTATCAAATGAAGTTTTCACTGGAATATCAAGCAGTATTAAAACCATGTAAGTATTATATAAATGTTTAAACTTAATTTTATGTACTTATGGTTGAAATAATTCTTATATAATTTAAAACATACTCAAAATAATTTCTATGTAACATAAATAATGTATGTATATGATGTCGTGGAAACCATAGTTTTGTGACCATCTAAATCAAAGAGTCGGTATTTTAAGTTTTTTTTATTTGAAGCAGCCTCAAAGGGTATAAACATTGGGATCAGAGTTGAATATAAAATTAAAATTAACTGAAATCAAGATTAAATCGAGATCCAAATTAAATGTGAAGTTTTCGAAACTGTTATTAGGATTTATAAAATTACAATTTTTAAAAGTACAGGAATATTTCACCTTGAGGATGAGCTTATTTTGAATTCTTATAAGAATTTGTTCTTTGGTTTTTTAAAACCGCAATATTTTAATATAAATTTCTGTTCCAATATTCATGTATTCACAACTAGAATCCTTTTTGTAATAACATTTACTGTGATTGTTTATACATAAATTTTAATATAAAAATCTATAAACAGGTCCTTGTACACTTTTAATATTTTACATATAATTTCTTTGAACAATAAATATTACAATAATTTATTGAATATTAGTATATGTATGTATACGTATAACCGTATTGTAATAAGAATTTTATTTTAAAAATATTCATTCACAGATTCATTCTTAATTGATGAGCAGGAGGCATTTGGTCAAATAAATTAATATCAAAGATTTTAAAATATAATTGAACTTAATTTTAATTAATGTGTAATAAATTCATTTTTGATTTAATTATTATGAAATTGATTTAATTGTTATGTGAATATATGTATATATTTACTTAATGTACTCAATCTTGCTGGCTCTTTATTTTATGTCTTTGTTGTCGCTGATCAACCATATTTTTTTAGTAACATGAAAAAGGGAAGTTTTATTCATATACCAAATACGAGTATATAACAATAATTATAAAAATAATGTTCAATTCATAACCTTACGAAAATTTTTGTTTTTATCAAAAAAATTAATAATTATATAAAGGACTGTAAGGATGTATTAAAATGAAATCATGTCAACATCGTCAGATCAAAATTTTTCACTTAAACAATACAATCCACTTACCCTGTTATATAATTTCATGATGTTATACTTCTTCATTCACCTCAAAATTTCTTCAATGTACATACGACATATTTTTCTGTTACAATGGATGTTTTGTTTGGCTTTTTCGAAAAGATAGGTCTCAAATGTCTTCTTCAAAATGTTAACTGTCTCTCCTAAAAAAAAATACATCATACAAAGTTAGACAAATTATCTATAGAGATTCTAAAAACTTTATTACATCTAGAATGCTTTGTAAACAATATTTTGGCATTATCAAATCATACTCGCATAATGATTAATGCAAATCTTTATCACATTCAAATCAATAACTTTTTAAGAAAAAAAGGGGATGACAGTGATTTGGATGAGATGCGAATGCATTACATGCCTACATGTGGCTACCGCAACCTTTGCTTCAAAAATAATTTTAAGAATATCATGAATGGATCATTCATGATATTTGGCATTCCAAGACAATTTCCAATTTATTTTAACACGGTCTTGTTGATGGTATTTGTAATAAATGGCAATAGCAATACTCAAAAAAGTGAATGAAATTATTACGTTTAGAATATTCTTCACCAAGAATACTCGTTATGGTCGTTAATAATGCACGAAAATATTGATTAATTCTGATTAAAATTCTATTGGTTATAAAGAATTCACAATAATTAAAAGTTAAATATTATAATATATTCAATTGAGGTTAAAAGTTTAAAATAGATCGAACATTTATACCATTCAAACACAAATCATACAAACATATTATTTATAAATTAAATCGCAACGAACCCAAATATCGATTTTTGTAATTTAATATTTTCATATCATGCAGTTCATATTTTAATTTTAAATGGGAAACAATTATTTTATATGGTTATAATTTCTTAATGATAATTGCAGCTAATAATCATCAGCAATTCCTCATTAAAAAAATAATAATAAATTGTTGATTTCTGAAGGTAAACTATTCTGACCTTCATCAATATCATGACAAGATGACACAAAGTTGTAATTTGCGTGTGTAAGACATAAATGGGAGGATATATCCGTTGTTTTAAAAAAGTACTTGCTTCGCGAATATTAATCTTAAAATAGAATAAGAAATTTTTATAAATAACTTCATTTTTTAAAAATTATATCCATAAATTCGGATTTGTGTAATTAAATTTTGACCCAATATGAATGAGGCTATAGACAATTGAAATTTGGAATAAATTTAAAAACTAAGAATCTAAGATCTAAATGTTTAAATAGCTTTAAATTATATTTATACATATATATAAAGTATATACAACAGCAATGGTTACATATATTAAATTTTTTTCAATTTCCTAAAAATACTAATCTTTTTGAATGTCTTAATGTTAAACGTTCTTTGGAGACATCTTGTATACAATAGTATAGAATAGACCTACAACAACATTAATATATTTCATCTATAATTATTTTTAGAAAATGATTTCATGTATTATAGTTGAATAACAAAAATAAATCAATATTAATTTTCAGACGTATAATAAACAGTGGTCTTGTGAGAATTCCAAGCTTTAAAAGTCTTCAATCACATGATACAATTTTGACAATGGTGTAAGTATATAAAATTTTAATTATATAAAATTAATAACATGTATTCATATAAGCACACTCATATTTAAATAAACCTCTATTCCATAAGTATTTTATAAGACATTTTATAAATTAAATTTGAAACTCAACCAATTTCAATTAAAATATAACATTTTTCAATTTCTTTTTTTTTTCGACAGAGATTTGGCTGGTAATTGTATTAATAATGTAGAGAGTAATTCCGTGCAAATAAAGACTGAGTTATTGTAAGTTTTACAAATTATATATACATACTTAAATTTTTTATTTCAATTAAATTTTATTTTCAAATTTATATAGAAGTTTAGATAGTAATGCTATAAGAAATATAGAAGATTCAGCATTTTATGGATCACAAATTGCTAAATTGTAAGTAAAATTTTTAATATGTTTTTATTATTTAGTTTTTCAATTATTAATAATTGGCAAATATCATACAATAATTATAAAATACAAATTTAAAATTATAAATTTACAGAACATTTATTGGAAATCGTCAACTAAGTACTATACACCCATCAGCATTTGCTGGTATTATGAATTTAAGAGAATTGTAAGTGGCTTAAATAGCAAAAAACAAAAAAATTCTCCCACAATTTCATTATAATCATATGCATAAACTATAATAAATTCATTATTTATCCTGTAAACTATGGGTATTATTCATGAAATCATTATATTATTCATCGAAATAATTATATACAAAAGAGCATAAATATAGTATCACTTTTTAGTATACAGACACGGAGTCTCTTACTAGCTATAATATAAATCAAGCCGAGTAATAAAATGCTAATAAGATTTTAATACTAATAAAATATTAAAAAAATAAATAAAACACAGTGTATCAAAAGGTATCAGACCTGAAATTAGTAAACATATTTTAGTTCCTTATTTTTTGTAATAAATTTATTGATTTCAAAAATAAGTTCCAAATGGAATTTAATAACAAGTGAAATATGAATATCATTTCTGAAATTTCAAATTATTCATGTTTCGGATTATTAAAGGTTACTGGTTCCTGACATCCTTTTCGAAATATTTTTTTTTTTTTCTAGAAAAAACACATTCTAAACAATTGCATTTAAAAACTTTTAAAGCATTGATTTGCTTCATACGATCTTTATGTCAAATGTTCTTTTAAGTATATTCCAAAAAAAAATTAAAAAAATAATTTGATTGTTAGTTCACTGTATATTCTTTCCTCTGAGAACCTTTTATTGAACTCCGTGAAATAAGGAAAGGTGCTACTTTACAAACTATTGGTTTGATTCAAACTTATTCAATTTTATTAATTCAGCATTAGTTTACATATTTTGCATAACTAAATGGTGTCATCAATCCTTACCTAGAAATATAGTATCTTATAAAACAAAAGTATAAATGAATAATTAATTATATACTCGTAATTACATAGTAATTCCTATATACAAGGTTTTCATTAGTATTCAAATAAAATTTATTATTCGGATTTTCCAGTTTTGTTCATTTAATTTATGTATTATAAAAATATTTTTCTAATTTTGTTATACTGTCTTTGATTGACCACTAAACATTCATTTGCATTTTAGGTACATATACATATACATATAAACTTTAGCTTACAAAGTACATTATTATTTAGTAATATCCTAAACAAAAATTAATTTTAAAAAAAAAAAATTTTATTTAGAGACTTGTCAAGTACATCAATAGTTAGATTACCATCGATTGGACTTAACGAACTGGAAATACTAAAGGTTCAAAATACTCATACATTGAAAACAATTCCATCAATTTATAATTTTAAAGTAAGTAAATACAAAAATTTTTCAATTTGAAAAGCATTTTGCTTCAATTGAAAATTTGATTAAAAAAAAAAAATTTAATTCACGTGTGCAACGTTATACTCGTACACATGGTCATAAATACAAATACATATGTAAATAGATATCTGAAAAAGAACAAAAAATTTGAAAATTTATTCAGCTTTTTCCAAGATTTCAGAATTAATAATTTTAACAGAAAGGAGGATTATTGCTACACTATATATTATGCAATTTTGTATTTCTTAAAGCGAATATGGATGCTGCGCGTACATACGTATGGATTTATCAAAAAATATTTAAATATTTAAGATTGTGTGACGATTTTAAAATATGGGGTATAAAATTTTTATTGAAATTTTAAATTTTAAAATTTCAGAATTTTTAAAATTAACAAAAAATTTATTTAAAATATTTTCCGTTTCAAAGCAATATTTGAAAAAAAATTAAAGAGTACTTAAAATTGCTTTTATTAATTAAGTATTAATTAATTTTTAAATTAAATATGCACACTATAATTGAGTTTATAATATAAGAAAATTTTTTGAAATTTAATTAGGAAATTTTTGATTATATCTGAATATTTAAATATTACAAATCAAAATTTAAAAATACTTAAAATTTTTTGAAAAAATAATTCCCAAAAAAAAATAAAAAATTCATACAAATAAATCTGTTAATATATTATTAGTTTATCGAAATTATTGCAGAAAATCTCCCGATTTGATCGGTCTATCTGATTATTCAGTTGAATAATCAGATAGACCGATATTTCGCCTACAAATTGTTTAACTACGTTTTTGTATTTCTATGTTAAAAATTTAAGGAAAACAAAATGAGAAACGACCGTGTCAACTCTGTAGTATAATGGCAATTAATGAAGTAAAATAATGGGTATATTACAATACATTTTTATGCAAAATTTTAGCCCTGTAACTACAATAGTTTCCATAATATTCGATCAAATGATTCTAAATCAAATGACAATATTAAAAAGTTGTATGTAAAGATCAAAAACATATGTACACTTATGTCTATATCTTAAATCATTATTTCTTAGCGTGACAAACGGTAAGGCAAATTTATAAAACCCTTCGAATATACATTCACACGGGTATAATACATAAACTGTTATAAATAAATGTGTAACAATTAAAACGTAAATACAAAATGTTTTACTGCCTCAATTGATTTCGTAAAATATATAATTATATAGTAAATTGTCATGTTATACGAGTATGAGACATATTTCATTCAAATTTTGGTAAATACATTAAAATTTAGATGATTGAAATTGTATTAGATTACAAATTAATTTGTATGGCATTAATGTACCACATAGTGTACGTACATAATACATACATTGTATATGCATATAAATACATATGTATGTGAGACTGTATTTCCTACGTAAACGGAAATGTAATATTATGCTATTTGTTTCGTGGATTTCCGATGCTTTGTGTACGCAAAGTGAATTTTTTTTTTTCAAAAATATTAGATTCATTCTGGTCGTATAAATTTTTAACAATATAACACCCATAGCTTAAAAAAATTTTGTATAGACACGTGTTGTATAATTACAGGCAATATTGAAAATAAGTTTAAAATCAAATATTCGTTTATATCCTTTGATAGAGGATACCCATTTAATCGAAATATTCTCAATCCCCTGACAAAAGTTACAATTATAAAATTGATATGGAAAAAACAATAAACCATACAATTAAAAATTACAAAAAAAATCTGACATTAATTTCAACGCTATATTCGACTTATAGTGAAAATAGCAATAACTATAGTTCCTGAACCCGTACAATATCTTTTAAATTTATTAAAATATTTCTTATGCTTAATATTCTTACAAGTTCTACAATCAATTTCTTTTATGAATGAGATTTTTCGTACGTTATTAAGTATACTAACATGCCTGTAATCAATTAAGCTACCTTGGTATTACTGTATTGGATGAAATACGAATTTTATTGTTGAGTGATTGCTTTTTTATTTCCTCTTTCACACTATTAAATTTTCCGAAATCCCTATATGAATAAGAGAAATATTAAACGAACATTAATAAACACGATAAAGTATTCCAGAAAGTACACACTATAAAAATTTTTGTAAATCCTTTAAAACGAACACCTAAAAATATTTTTCTAAAAATAAATACATAAAAAAATTATATTTTTTACAGAATTTACAAATTGCTTGGCTAACACATTCATTTCATTGCTGTGCATTTAAATTTCCATCAAGACATGATCCTTTAAGACATGCAAAACGACTTAAATATTTAGAACATTTAGAAAAAACATGTTCGGGTAATGTTGAAGATAATGGTGAACTTTTAGATAGTAGTGAATCATTTGAATTGGGACAAATTGAAGAAATTTCAAGACAACAAATGATACAACAAAAATTATTATTATCATCGACATCAACATCATCATCAGTACCTTTAAAATCATCATTAGAAAAGAAAGGCATAAGATATTCAACATCAAAAGATGGAATTGTCCTAAGGCGAACAAAACGTATGATAGCTGAAAAAATAATTCGAATGTATAGAGGGTAAGTACATAAATAGGAGAATACGCATACACACACAAACATAATTAATGGTATAAAAATGACATAAAACAAAAATTTTCAAAGAATTTTTTTTAAAGTGTAAAGAAAATTATGTAAAAACAAAAAAATTAATTTAATTAAACGTACATTTTTCGAGTTCAATGAAAGAACAAAAAGAGATTTTTATTTTCTTGCTTTTTCTTCTTTTCCTTTGAAATTTTATTAAACTTAGAAGGAAGGAGATCAATGAAAGGTGGAATTGCTATTTTAATGTACAATTAAAATTTTAAACATAAAAACAATTGATTTAAAATTTGTACTGAAATTCTTTTAGTATTTTTAAAAAGAAAATCTATTGCTCGTATTTTTTCCTTTATTAAAATTTCTAATTGCTGCATTAAAATTTCAATCAAAATTAATGAAAATTGAATAATCATTAAAAGAATGAAAATAAGATTACAACAAAAAAAAATTAAAGTTACTTTTTTGGCATTTCCTAATTGGGGTTAGATATACGCATTCAAATAATAGGCGCATGAAGATTCAAATTAATTCAAAAAAGAAAATTAATTCTAAATGAATTCAATGAAATTCTATTTTTCAATATATGACAACATGAGAACGATTTAGTCTAGACATACTTGAATTTGTGTTTACAGTTCTAACAAAGATTAGTAGTTCTATTGCCGTGCAGTTTTAGATAATAAGATCTCGCGCAATTAGAACTGCAAACGTGAATTCAATCTATGTATCGTAAGTTGCTTAAACTTGACTGTTATGAAATAAGAAATTTCAGCTTTTAATTAGATAAAGTGAGGTTTTTCTCATACAATTTCAAATTTTCCATTAAAAAATAGACCATTAAAGCATTGAAGAATCTTCAAATTTTAAAAAAAAAAATATTACTGAAAAATTTTTCTTGATTTTCTCAAAAGCCAGCAACTTTATAATTCTTTCACTACAATAATACTTCTAATTGAAAAATTTTTTTATTTACTTAAAGTAGTTTTTAATAAATTCCAAGTTATTACCACAATTTAATACAAATTTCTTGTAACATTGAAATAAAAAAAAATAATAATCCCTTTTTTTCTATTTTTACATCTTCAACAATTTTTTTTTAAGAATTTATTTATCTATATTATAATGTTCTTATATCTTATTTATATTGTAGGACGGTATTAAATCCATGGGATAATCTAAACGGTTCACAATTTTCAAAAGATACTGAATTATTATCTGAAGATCCATTAAGAGGTTCTCCAATTAATTTAGATTTTAATGTAGATGAAGATATTGTACCTGAAGATGAAGAATTCTTAAATATGGAAGATATTGGAGAATTTCATATACCATTGTATAATGTAACAACGCAGAATACACATTTTGATGCATTATGCGGAAATGTTACATTTAAGTGAGTATTAAAAAAAAATAAATGTTACTTTTAAATGAAAAAGTGTTATTAAATGTTCTTAAGTTGAAAATTTTAAATAAAATATTAAAAGTATTTTTTATAAAAAAAAAAGTTGGTACCATTTTCCTGAAATACATATAAATTAATAAGATAATGATGAAATGTTTTAAAATTTTAATTTTGCGCCAATGCGAAAGTTGTTTTTATTCGGAAAGAAATATTTTTGCATTTTCCGCATTAAATTTTAAAACATTAAACTCAAAAGATATGTTTCATTATATTTAGATGGTTATAAAGCGTGAATAAGATGATTAATGAATGATAAAAATGATAAAAGCAGATTATTTTTAAAACTGATCCCAATCTACTTTGGGGGAAACTTCATAAGTCTTTTCCTAATGCTAAAACAATCATAATTCTAAATTTTAATTATCCGAATTAAAATAAAAAGAAAAGTAGAATAAACATTTTTTATTAAGATGCAGAATATGAAAAAACTTTTCTCACATAACATGCGAACAAAATATACGACACTCATTCACTTTCTTTTCAATCGGGGAATAAAATGACAAAGTACATAATAAAACCCTTAAGAACAAACTCTTCTACTACCTACCTAAAATTTCAGTGTGGTAGCTTTATCTAAATTCAAAGCTCAAACTTGTTCTAGATTGTCGTTTAAATAGACACTTTTCTATAGTTTATAGGTACGATAATTTAATTTTTTCTATAGTTCACAGGAACGATAAAAAAATTAAAAATCGTAAATTAATTCCATCCTCATTTAATATTCTTATATAAGACTAAAATGCTTTCATCTGCAATCAAACCTCAAATTTCCTTTATATTTTCCGTATTTTTTTTATTGAAAATTCTTTCCCTAAAACATAAAAAATTAAAAAATATGTATGTATGTATATAATTTTAATTTTTGATCAATAATTCGTTATATGTATGTAGAAATTTCTTAAAATTTAATGAAATTTTAAAGAACATTTCCTTCTACTCTATACATATAAAACATCTTCTTACATGTTTTTTTTTTAATTTTATAACAAAAAGGCACTTAAGTATAAATGTACAATGCATTTTATGCGTTTTTTCATCATAAAAGAAAAATTACTTTGTCTGAGCCAAAAAGTATTTAAAAAGCAAAAATAATTCCCACAATAACTAAAAATTTTATTAATTTTTATAACCGTACTAATGTATCATCATCATATTAAAATTATAAATTTAATTATAAATTTACCATTCAGTTTATTATGCTGAATAATAGTTATGTGTATAAATTTTTACTCTGTGTCGAATTATGTCTGTATATCTGTCCGTCTTGACAACAACTCAAAAAATAATTGAACTATGTTTACCAAATTTTCATACATTTTTTGCATTAAATTGCAAAATCCTATATTTAATTTACATATCATCTAAACAACGGCTTAAGTAAATACCAAATGGAGCTTCAAAAGTCGTTTGGCCATAAGTCTTCAAAAATATTATAAGAATACATATATTGCTAAAATATTCCACAAACCAAAATATTAATAAAACAAAAATACTTTCTTTAAAACCAAGTCGAAATTGTACGAATGGAAGTTTGCCGAAAAAATAATTCAGTATAATAACCTAAAACAAAGTTAAAGACAAAATGTGTTACTAACAAGATCTGTTTTTAAATAGCAAGTAACATGAGTCTGCAAGATAATTATCACCCGACTCCTAGAATCAATCATTCATACGAATATCACAGAATTGACATGACCAACTCTAACTACATTTTCATTTTCTATACTATTATAAAGATTTTATCTTTAAAAAAGGAAGCTATTGCATGTGTACATAAACATAGGAACAAAAATATTTATTCAATACCAATTCATAGACGTGTGCATAAAATGTTAGAGAACAAAAAAGACAAAAGAGTGAATATACATAGGTCTTTAAAATCAGGGTTACAAGGACTTTTAAAAGCATTCAATTTTTTTTCTACAACATTCTATCTCAAGGAAAAAATATTGCACTATGGTTAGAATGAATTTATAATAATGTAAGAATATTAAATAAACTCTTATAGGTACAATATTCCTTAAAATGAGGTTTTTTAATTTTCTTTCACTTGCATAATATAATAAACATAATTAAGGGATACCAAAAATAAGCACCCTTAATATTTTCATTTTAGATGTAAAAAGTAAATGTGGCTGTTTAAGGTTTTATAATATTTACTTTGTATAAAAAATTCAAAAATAATTAAAGTATTGCAACTTTATTTGAATGCGTTGAATTTAATAATATATAAAGATTGGCAATAATATGAAAATTCGGATTATAATTGTTAATAGAAAGGAAGAACAAAAACATCTTATTAATATTCTAAAATTAAATTTGAGCTCAAATTCGCCACGCTTCTATATAGATTTATATTTGTTAAGCATGGTAATTTATTTAAATTACAATGAACGATTTAATGTACATGTAGTTCCAGTTTTTTTTTATGAAGACTAAACAAGATGCAATATAAGATACCCTTAGTAAAAATTATCTAAATTTCTAAAAACCGTTTTAAGACGTTCAATATAACAGTTAGATGAATCCATAATTCTTTGTCATAATCGAATCCGATCTGAAAGAAAGCTCAATCGATTAAATTTCTAAAAAAATTTACCATATGACAAGCCTAATTCCTATTTTTTTCATTTGCTTATTATCCACTTTAAACAGTATTTAATACATACATTTTACTATGAAAAGAATTTGAATAGGAGGGCAACTATAACAAAGAGAATAAAATAAGTTTCTGAAATCAATTCCCTATATACACACATATTTGAGTTCAGGATAAGAAATTTTACATTGAAACAATTTTTAATAATTTTTTTTTTATATAAACTTTAATCGAGAAATAAATAAAAGACAGCAATAAGGAATTAGATCAGCGTACCACATTCAAAAAAATTCAAGTAATAAAAATAATTAAAAGAATTAGATCTTGAATATGAGGAATCTTAAGATCTACAACTTATTGTACATAGTAATGGATGATTCTTAAATTGCATTTAATTTATTTAAAAGTTATTGCATTGAATTCGCCTAATTACAGACAGAGACATTAAGTTTTATCGTTTAAATTTATTTAACACGAACAATTTGAAAAGATTCAACTGTCCGGCTTACATAAGTGTCGATTTCATGAGCAATTATAGAAACTTGCAGTCATGAATTAGTTGCAGTCCACGCCAATCCAATAATCAGTAAATAAGCAGAGGTGGACACTTTTTTTTCACATTGTTTTGGATATTTTATAAAATTTTCAAACTCACCTAAAAATATAAAAAAATCAATCCTCACTTATTTAATAGAACTCAACAAGTTTCAATAGTTTTCAATATAAAAACTTTTAATGTAATCTGAGGTTTCAAGTAAAAAAATTTCCGATTCACCTCGGATATTTTATTTTAAATTGAATTTTCAACTACATACTTTAAAATATAATTCTAATGCAATTCGACCACAAGTAAATTTTGTTATAAGCCAAGAATTTTATTTCCTTTTGTATTTTTAAAGGAAATTATAAAAGCAAATAAAATAGTTCTCTTATATTTACATCTTTGACATTATGAAAAATTATAAAAATTTAAATCTTCCTTTAACTATTTATAGAAATAAAAAATTAAACTTATAATAGAAACTTATAAATTTTAGACAACGTGAAGTTGCATGTTTTCCAGTGCCAGATGCATTAAACCCATGTGAAGATGTTATGGGTTCAAATTGGTTAAGAGCACCTGTTTGGGTCGTTGTATTATTAGCTGTATTTGGTAATTTTGCAGTTTTAGTTGTTATAATGGCGACAAGGTAACTCTTATTTTCTTTTATACAATATACAAAAATATTAATTAAACAATATAAATATGCTGCAGGAATGATGGATCAGTACCAAAATTTCTTATGAGTCATTTAGCATTTGCTGATCTTTGTATGGGTTTATATCTATTGTTACTTGCATCAATTGATGCTCATTCAATGGGAGAATATTTTAATTATGCATTCGATTGGCAATATGGTTTGTATATAATATTTTTTTGGAATATTTTTTATATTTGCAATATGGTATTTATCTAAATATATATATATATATATATATATAGGTCCTGGATGTCAAATAGCTGGTTCATTAACTGTATTTGCTAGTCATTTATCTGTATTTACTTTAACAATTATAACAATTGAACGATGGTTTGCCATAACACAGGCAATGTATTTAAATAAAAGAATTAAATTAAGACCAGCAAAATATATAATGGCATTTGGATGGATGTATTCATTTTTAATGTCAGCTTTACCATTATTTGGTATAAGTAATTATTCTTCAACAAGGTAAAGATTCTATACTAAATTTTCATTTATATAAAAAATTAAATTTACGAAAAAAATATTCCGTTTTTGAAAATAAATTGGTCTGACATATAAACATTTGGATTGCTGTGGAAGTTACCTTGTAACTTTAATAAAATTAAATACTAGTATACAAAAACTATTTTATAAAGCAAACAATTAAAATAAATAAAGTTAGGTCAAATCAATGGCTATAAACAATCTAACTATGTACTACATTATTAAAATTCTTTCAGTCAGAATGGGCAATAAGTGCAGTCTTTAAAACAGAACAAAAAAACTTGAAAGAAGCGTTAATATAATACTCGAATTTAATATTTTTCCAAAATTATCTTACCTAGTCTTGTAAAATTTTACCGAAACTGCTCCTATTTATTATCGTTGACTTTGGATCTTTTTATAATTATCAATTTTATTATATGTGAATATTTTCAACTATATTGTTCCAATTATTTTTCAATTTCCGTTTAAATTTTGCCCCCTTCGCAACAGATTCATTCTCTCAAATTGATTTTATGTTATCCAAAACTGTATTTTTTAAAAACATTTAAAATCCTCTGTATGAACCTAAAATAATTCCACATTTTTTGGGAATTTGTGTACGTTTGAACATTTCATTTCACAATTAAAAAATTCATCAGAATAATCCAAATTTCTTTTATAATTTCCACTGCTTCTATATTTCTTGCATAAGTTGATTGTTAACTTTCTTCGAAATCCTTAAATTATTTAATTTATTTTCATCAATTTTTTGTTAATTTTATAATTTTAATTTAATTCTAATTCTTTCTATATTTTTCTATTCATAATATTACTTTGTTTAAAAAAAAAGAGTTTTGACAAAAATATGAAAAAAAAAGAAAATTTAGCCTCATAAATATTTGTAAATTAATTTTTTTTTTAATATACATAACATAACATAAATACTAAAATTTGCTGGTTTACATTCGCAAATTGTTCTTATTAAATTTGGAATGAGTGTAGTAGGGAAAGTTGTGTGGGTTACGAATTGGTTATTAAATTAAGGTTTTAAAAACATTTTCCATATTTACAATTTCATAATTGCAGCATGACCGCGAGGCTTGTGACTAGTGACTGTTTAGCTTTTGGTCCAAACTTAGGTCTTCATCCTTTAAAATTTTGACTTTTTTTATTTTTACACGAAAATAATATGCTTAAGTTCGAATCCAGATTTCACCATTTTAAAAAAAAATTATTTTTTTGTATTTTAAAGTTTTTTTTGTTTTGAAATAAAACGATTTTTGGATATCTAGAGACCTTTGTTCAAATCGAAATTTTTATTAATATCTGCAATATGTTAAAAAAATTTTATTCGAAATAGAAAATTAATTTGGATAAAATGGAGGTGAAATAATTACCACGGAGATTAACAGTTTTGAAGATATGTGATTTAATTTATTCATGTGTATTAGGATATTTGTATAAATTTCAATTTTTATACAGAATTATCAAATTAATGAAGGCAAATTTTAAAGAAAAAAAAGTTCAATTAAACAAACACAATATTTCCAAGTTTTCAACTAGAATGTGCTTCTCTGACCGAAACTTTATTAAAAGTGAGCCCTACTTGAGTCTCAAACTTTATTAGAAACTCGATTGCTCTGTAAATTAACCGAAAATCGGTTTAAGCAACAATTCATTTTTAAGGATCAGCTCTTTACATCTCCACATTTATTTAAAAATATTTTATTGTAAAAAAACTCATTTCTGACATTTCTGCATCAAATTTTTCATATCACTTTTGGTTCGTAAAAATGTAAGTTTTTCATTACAGTTCATCAAAATTTTAATTTTTTTTTATTTTAAAGAAGTATAACTAGCAGGAGAAGTGGGACACAATAAATTTTTATTCTACACTAATATTACCATCACTAAAGCCTATTCGTATAGGTAAAATTTTAAATTTTTACCATGAAATTGTTTAGAAATTTTCTAAACAGGCAGATAATTTTTTTGAAATTTACCATCAACAAAAATTGAAGGTCATTTCTTACAAAAAGTTTTTAATAAAATTTTTCTCAAAATTCCATTTTCATTGAAATTTCATTTAGCATACTGTAATGCTAATAGTCATTCTAGCTTGATAGATATTCCCCTAAAGCGTATAACATATTACAAAAATATTATTTTAAAACCTATACTTATCCAAAAAGTATAAATTTCAAAAGAAAAATTAAGTTTTTTTTTTCATCCTCTTTACATTTTCCCAATAATGCTATTGTTCGCTATAAAAATCAAATTCCCCCCGAAGTATAAACATTTCTTAAAATAATTTTTTTAATATAAAAAGAATTTTAGTTTCTGAACTCCTTCTGAGTCTTCTTTTACTGTTCTTAAACAAAAGTATTTTTCTTTATTTTTTAAAATTTACCAATCTACTTCTTTTTTATCATTTTTAATTCAACATTGAATCAATGTTAACATTGAAATACCAAAGAAGATTCCATTTTCGATATTTCATAAGAAAAAAATTTTAAAAATATTTTAATGAGCAATTAAAATCAGTCCTTTTTCCAATTCAAGTGTTTCTCGAATTGCATAAGTTTATTAGTGTAGAATATTATTTTGAATATTTCCAAAAAATAACAATATAAGGTACATATATTGTTTATTTTATTTAGGTATTTTAAGAACATGGTAATCAAATAATAAAGTCCTTATAATCTATGAATTTATGAAAGGTTGCAGGATTGTTCTTATTCCTTAATATTTCTAATTTTTAATTGCCGAAAATTTAATTTACTTTTAACAAAATTGAATTTCCTGTACAACTTTTTGCGTAGATCTTGTTTTTTATTTTCTTCAATTATTGTACTTTTTATATTTTTTTCAATTATTGTAACTTTAAACGATAATTTTTTGTACTTATGACAAAAACTAATAGTTTCTCGAAACTAAGAAGTGCATAATTTGTCAATGAGATTTTATTTTTATTCTTTAATTTTATTTCTACAAAAAAAAATCATATTAATGGAAAAATTTAATTTAAAAGTTATTTAAATTTTCTTATATTTACATAGTATTTGCTTACCAATGGAAGTACGTGATCATGCTGATGTTGCTTATTTAGTTTCAATATTAGGTATTAATGGAGCAGCATTTTTCATAATTGCTATTTGTTACACTCAAATTTATTTTTCACTTGGTACTGATACCAGAAGATCAAGAAATCAATCTATAGGTGAAATGACAGTTGCAAAAAAAATGGCATTACTTGTAAGTTTTGTATCCATTATATAAATTTTCACTTCAATTTTAAACAGCATCCAATATTGATTTACTTAATTGATTCTCGTTTTTTTTTTTTTCAGGTATTTACAAATTTTTCGTGTTGGGCTCCAATTGCATTCTTTGGTTTAACAGCAATTGCCGGTTATCCATTGATTAATGTAACAAAATCAAAAATATTACTTGTATTCTTTTATCCTTTGAATTCATGTGCTGATCCATATTTGTATGCTCTTTTAACTGCTCAATATCGTAAAGATTTATATGCGTTATTATCGAAGTAAGTTGCGAGGAAGAGAAAAAACAAAAAAATTTGTTATATTTCTTACAAAATTTAAATACAATTTAATATACATAAATGAAATATATTTTTTTCTTTTATTCTTTAAAACATAATGATAATAAAAATCAAAATCAAACTTTTCATTTTTAGATTTGGTATATGCAAACAGAAAGCATTAAAATATAAAGCAAGTTTAACAATGCCAGCAACAAATTTAACAACACATCAAATTGGTACAACTACAGGAAGTCCAACTCAAATGCAAGAAGAACATAATACTATACTTGAATCAAATCATTCCAACCATTCAAATCATTCAATGTTATGCAGTAAACAAGATAAAATTCCAGAAGCTGTTGCCATGTTAGATAATACTGATTTTGTGTAAAATAAATAAATTATATAATTTTATATTATGTACAATCTATATACATGATAAATTAATAATATAATAATGTAATTTTATTCTATACATGTATAATATGTGTACGATACTTATATGAGATAAAATATAAATATTATGTGGTTTTATAATTAAATTAAAATAACAAATTATCAGCGGTTTCTTACATAAAACTAAAAAAAAAAAAGAAGATTATGCCGAATTTAATTATAGCTACTTTATATTTTTTCATATACATATATTCTCTAAATTAGAATATCCCTTCCGTCAATTCTGAAATAGTATTTTATGACCTATAATGAAAATTGTCTATATATATACAGTTGTCTATACATAGTGAGATTTTACTATTGGACCTATTAAAGAAATAACAAAATATGTACTTTGAGAAAGAAAGAACACAAATTTCATATTTTGTCTTACATTTTAGAGAAGAGAAGTTGGCAATTCTCTTTTCGAAAGCGTTTGCGATTAATTTTATTTTCTTATTCCCCTTAAAAAAAATCTCGAATCTTGTAAAAATTTGCAACAATGCAATACCGTACTTATCAACTTTGAATGCCATATTCTTCAATTTTGAAACTTTGCAATTTCCTTTAAAATTTTTGGAAAAAATTATTAATTGATTTTTTTTATTGTTTGAAGTACGCAACCTGCCAATAATCCAAATATGTACTCTTTGTACCTATTATTCTTCTAAATTCGGCATTAATTTAATTTATTATAATTATATGTACCTAAATATAAAAATTATGAAAAAATTATTAAATTTTATAAAAATATGACCTATAAAACTCGATGTGATGCTAAACAATAATGTGACTACATTTACAACAATATGTAAAACAATATATATATAATTATGTATGTAAGCATGTGAATATTATCAAATAAACAATTTGTATATTTTAATTTCAATATAAAGATGTAGATATATACGTACGTAAATGTATATCTAATATTAAAATAAAATTAACATTATGTAATTTGAGAATAATATTGAATGTAAGATAAAAATGTACCTATGATTGTATGTATATATATATGAAATAATGTAGTTAATATTATCAGAATGTAATATGAAATTTCTAAAATTTTTAAATAATGTAATATTTTTTTTTTCTTTTCTAGTCTATGAAATTCATTGTATAGTAAAATTTGTAATTATCAATAAATATTTAAATTTATTTTTAAATATAAATTTTATGTAAAATTTTCATTTAACTTCAAAAAAGTTCATGAATCTTGCGCATTTTAATTCATAGTCTCTTTTGTACAATACCAAGTACAGGAGAGAAGAAAATGAATTTATAAGAGGGTGTAAAATTAAAAATAAAGTTTAATTATTTACACGTAATTTGTAAGTGGAGCATTGCAACAATTTTAAGTCTAAAGCTAATAAACATAAACAGAATGTAAAAATGCACTTCAAAATTTCTTAGATGTTAAAAATAATATATTACGCGTGAATGTAATTAAGTGGTGGGACCCGAAACAAAGATGGAAATTGAAAACAGCACTTTAAAATTCATTCTTTTTTGCTAATTTACCAGATTCTAGTATTTACTCTTGTTTCCCTACACAAAAATTTGAAATGCATCCTTGCATGTTGATGTTTATATAGCATATATTACAGACCTAACGCCAACACGGCTTATTCAATAATACAATTTTAATTCTTGAATGATTCAAATTTATAAGGATGCATATTATATCTTTAGATTCGGATTTGGGTCATTCAACTTTTTCAACATTTTGCGCAGTTAACAAGTTTTATATACTCGTTTAAGAAGCTTTGTATGCTCGAATTATAAAGAAAAGTGCAGAAAAAAAACCAATTAGAAAAAATCTACTGTTTTAATTTCCAAATCTACTGTATTAATTTACCACTTGAGATATAAGAAATATAAAAGTATCCTTCTTCGGAAATTTTAAATTCGTGAGAACTCTTAAAACAATGACAATTCTTAAAAATTCTTAATAATTTTTTAAACTATAACTCAAAGTGGAATTTCATATTTATCAATTATTTCATATTTTGATATAAATTTAAAACTTATAAAATCGATGAAGATTTCTTACAAATTCAAATTACACTTGATTGAGCTTTTGAGACTTTTTAGAATCTTCGGGAGAAAACACTTCTTTTGCTTCTTCATTGCTATTTGGTGAAGTATTCATATCAAAATTTGGAACTTTAATTATTTTTTTACATTTGGGACATATGCACGGATTATGTATACTGGCAACACAAGTCCCAATATCATGTATTACATTACCTAATGATGATTCATCATTTTGTTGGTCTACTTGTAACACAGTATTATTGCTAAATGTTGTCGTTGAACCAATCACTGAATTCAAAATTGATGAAATCGAATCAGATTCGAATGAGTTGCAAACTGATGTTGAAGAAGATTCTTTTGAATAGTTAGTTTTTTCATTTATTTTCGACTCGGAAGTTGTCATTATAGTTGGAATATTTTTATTGTTATCTGATAACCATTTTGATAGCCATATTATTGGTTCATCAGGTTTCTCTTTTGTCATATTATGTAAACCTTCAATTAAGGTAGAAAAAAATTCCGGATACTTGTATACTATGTCATCAATTGATTCAATTCGTTCTATTGGTTCATATATGAAATCTGGATGAAAAAAGTGAATTTCTTTGCGTGCACTATTTTTATTACAACTACCATGTATAGCATTTAAGTAATCATTTTCAAGACTTCCAAATTCAGCACGAATTGAATTTGGAGAATAACATCTTGCTTTACTCGGTTCTTCTGGTCCAATTAATGCAAGAAAATCATTAATTGCATTCTCTTTAGATAAAATTAATACTTCTATTGGACCATTTGATAAATTATACACAAATATATTGAAATTTGGATCGTTTTCCTTTTCTTTTAAGAAATCCGCTGCCAATTCAGGAGATAATTGAAATTTTTTATTATAAAGGATATAAAAACCATTTCTTTTAATTTTACGTAATATTTTATCACGTCTACATATGCCATCCGGTTTTATAATTCCTAATGTAGTTTCTAAAGTATCACATATTTTGTTTGATCTAGGCATTGTTCAAGATAATTTTATGTTTTACTGCGCCAAAATACCTACACACATACATATAAATTGTTTTAAATTTCAGTTCAGATAGACGAAATTTGTTTTTTCAATTATAAATATAAAAAGTATGAATAAAATTGAAATGCTTACTTTTAATTTGAATCTTTTTATACAAAAAATTCATGGTAAACTATGGTTTTTCAGATCAGAAAATTATGTAAATACATACTTACTTGTATTAACAAGCTTCTGAGCATTTAAAAAAATTCTGCGTACGTAAATTAAATGTATACTTCTGGATGTACTTACATATATTACATACGAACTGTTAAACTACGTTTCTTTTCGCACAAAATATTTTTCATAATGCCATTTTAGAAATTGCTTTAATTGTTTTCTTTTCTAATTCAATATCCAGAATTTCGATTAATAAATTCCGCGAACTATTGCAATAATTCATATTTAGCTTACCCTAAACAACCAAACGGTATTATCATTAAAAGTTTAAAAAATTCGATTGATTTCGTACCTACAAACAAGCTTCCTATAGTCCATTTAATATCCTATAATATGTCTTATTATTATTATGCAGTTAATGATTTTTCACAAACATAATTACATTTTTCAAAATATTTTACCAGTAAACATGTAAATTTACACAAAAAGCATTCAAAGAAATTATTCGCAGTAATGTGAAATTGCATTGCTGAATCACGACAAAATTTTTGGTCTAGCTGTTCAAAGTACCCCCTCCTAATTTATACTAATTTCAGGAAATTTATAAATTTATACATAAATTTCACTATTTATTAATACTTAGTTTTGATTTTGACTTTGATAAATATTAATCATTGACACAAACCAGAACTAATTTACGATAATTTAAATTAACACAGAAACCTGAAAACAATATTTCCTCCATCCATTTAATTTCCTAAAACAAATTTTAGAGTTAACCATTTTCCATGACCCTGGTGACAGTCGTTATAACTAATATGTGTACTTTGATTTGTAACATAATCTTTACAGCACTATAAAATTAAATGGCAATTTAATAAAAAAAGACATTTCAAATATGAAAATTAAAAAAACTCCGAAAGCACACCTACTGGAAAAAATAACATATCTGCATACATCACCTACTCATTTGCTGGGTAGCAGCGCAGTTGTGCTAAGTTTTAGCTACTCATGAGTAGTTTGAATAAGTAAATGGAAGGCAAATAATGTTGACAAACGTTTCATTCTTCTTGCTAGCTTTGCTGAAAAGGAGAACGTTAATTAAACGTTATATCAAACATTGATGCAAAAAAAAGAAATAGTTTAACATAACGTTTACTCTAAACTTGAATTAAATTTTACATATGTACATACTTCATACTCTCTTGCGCAACACCAATTATGTTTCCTTAATCCATTTAATTTCCTAAAATATATCTAATATTGTTTTAGCGGCTAATAGCTTTTGACAAACATAATGAATTCCAAGTATTTTCCCAGTCAACATCTAAAAATACAAACAAACTAGCAAAAGCACCGGCTAATTGTATAAAAACAAATGCCATTTTAATATTGTTTACTGTATTTGTGTGCACAAACGAAAGAGGGAAACAGAAAAGAGCTGAAATATAGTTTTGCATGTGTTGGAAAACGAGTTTGTGTGCACCTTATTGTTATATATATATAAATATATAGGAATATGTTTATTTTATTTAATGTTTTCCTATACTATTCCACATCTATAATCATGAATATATACTTTAATGCGCCAGAATACTACACCAAACCACATTTCAAGTTTATACTCGTATAGAATAACAAAACCAGATTCTTGTCTACTTATTCTTATGTATTATTAAAAAGTTATAGTATATAGTTCTTTTTCATTTCATATGCGCTACTTTTGAACCAAGCAGCAAAAGGTTATTGTTTATATTTTGTGTACAATAACAAAACCTTTGATAAATTGACATTTTTCATCTTACCAAATGGTGTAATTTGTTAATATTTACAAAGTATTACCATGTATTTATTTTAATAACATTTTAATGTTGATGATATTTTGAAATGCTTGACATACAACAAACTTTCTGGCCTATGTTATGAAACTAGAAAATTATCACTAGTTTATCCAAATTTAACTAGTAATGAAACTTAGACAATGTGAAAATTAAGATGTCATCTCCATCTGCTTCCAATTTATTATTTAAGCTAAGCAATCTTTTTATAAGCAATAGAAATTTTAATAAAATATAATAATATCGAAATAATTTTGACATACCGTTTGCATTATATCTTCAAAAGTAAAAGTTTAAAATTACTTTCAGTCTTTATTTAAATTTTGGTCTTTGTTTTTATTTAATACATATGAAATTGCAAAAAATTTTTGTATACCAATAATATATTAAGAAAAGGAATTCATATTTCGTTTTTTCTTTTAACATTTTTCTACCTGCTTTAAATAACGCAGTGTTATTCAATGTAATTTATATTACATTGATTGTAATTTATTTATATGTTCATAAATAAATTTTGCAAAGTAGTTCATTAATAAAATACTGCGAAATAATTACGAGTAGCATAGGTAAATCATATGAATATGTTTTGATTTCATAGAATAGTTAAAAATATATTGCATATTTATTACGTTTATGCTGTATTCCGTTTTGCAATGTTACATTAATGAAAATATCCATTATACATAAAAGTTATACACTCATGCAACTCTGTAATATAAAAATTTATACATATTTTTAAATAAAAAATAATATATAATTTATGGTGACTTTATCAAAAGTTTTAATTAAATTCTCATATAAAATGGCGACCAATAGTAAATTATGTTGTGTCAAAAATTTCTTTGATAATTTTGTACATTTTGTGCAAACATTAAAATCTTACTAAGTTAATTTAAAAATTTAACTAAAAAAAAATTAATTGCTTTTGACATTGTCAGTATATTTTAAGCTTGCATAAATTTATATGTATATGTCTAAAAAATGTACGAAAAATTTATTTTCCGCCATATTATTTTTAAAAATCCCACAAAAATCTGATAGTAATCAAATATGTTTTAATTTTTTCCAAATGTCTGACTTCAATTATTTATCAAATTTTCATCAGATTCAGGCACCTAATATGTATAATATATAATAATTTTGCATTATTTATTTACACATAAAAAATTTACTTTTCAACATATTTTTTTTTCTAATTCTTGCCTGTTTGGCAATACCCTATTTGTAAATCACAAAAATAACCTACAGAAAAAAAAAACAAAAAAAACAATATTCAATATATATATTTTGCAAATGGCCTGCTACTACAACCACACAACTACTACAATAATTTTGTTGTATTTGTATAAAAGAATTAAAAAAAAAAAAACAGGGGAACATTAAAAAATATAATCGTGTGTGTCAGTCAGTCAAGTTGAGCAGCGTTTAAGTCTGTCTGTAATTTATGTGTAAAAAGGAAAAAAAATTTAAAAAAAATATTAATTTTAAAATTAAAATATAAATATAATTTTTAATTTAAAATAAATTCTAATTAAATAATCTCTGATTTGTAAATAGTTTGTGTGTGTACAGTTAGTATTAAAACAACAAATCAAAAAAGAATAAAATTGTTTTTTTTTTCCGCATTAAAAAAAAAAAATCATTTTTCACATTTGTATAAAAAAAAGAAAAAAAAAATCGACAAGAATAGCAAAAAAAGAAAAAAAAAAATTAAATTCGACTGAAAATCGATTTCAGGAATAAAAACAAAAAGCAAAAGGAGAAGAATACAACAAAAAAAAATCTTAAAGCTGAGGTGCAAATTCCCTTAATAAACAAAATTTTATTCTTAATTTTAATTAGTTAATTTAAAAATAAAAAAAAAAACAAACAAATTCATTAAAGTAGGCACACATATGCATGATTTTTATGTTTTTATTGAAAAAAATTCTAAATTAATAACCCGACTACCTTGATTTCATTTTTTCCTTGTTTTTTAATTTAAAATTTTTTTCAAAGCATTCAAAATTAAGTGTTCTTTTCAAGAAAAAATTTTTCTTTCACAAATTTTGAAAATACGGAATGGAATTATTAATAATAATGAAAATAAAATTTTGTTCTTGTAATTAAATTAAAAATTCCGAAAAATTAAAAAATATTTTCAAATAAATTCGAAGTCAAAGAACAGAAATTTTTTTTTTTGTTTCAAAAGAAAAGAAGAATCGTCTGGAAATTTTTTTTTCCTTAAAAAACAGAAAACTTTTTTAAAGCAAGCTGAAGAAGAACCCCAAAGAATAGTAAAAAAAAGTGAAAAAAAAAAAAATCCCTCTTTACATCCCAGACAAAGGATATTTGTTTTTTCTTTATATATAAATACATATATATATATATACAAATATATAATATCCATAAAGAAAGAATAACATAGAAATAAAAAAAAAGGTGCATCTTTTATATTCTTCTTCAGCGCTCTATGTTTTGTGTAAATGTGTATGTATTCAACGGCGGCAATATAAATTAAATTTGTTTTCAATTCAAACACAGTCTCAATTCTTTTATAATTTTTTTTATTTTATATAAAATAAATAAAAAAAAAAATATTAACAGTCGCATTTGCATGTTTTCATATATCTACATTTGCTCTTTTTCTTTAATTACAAAATACCAACAAACATATTATGTATGTGTATAAATAATTTCAATTTAAAATTAAAATTGTGAGAAACAAACACAATTCAAAAAAATTTTCTTCTCTTTCCATATATACATACATGTGTTTGGGTTTGTGAATTCTATTCTAAATTTTGACATGTGTGAATATTGTGATTGTGAATATTAAACTAAACAAAAAGAGAAAAAAAAAATTGCCAGACCATTTCAAAAAAGAAAAGCCAAATATTGCATAAAACAAAATAAAAAATTTTTGTTATTATTTATAATTATAATATTAATTAAAATGATTAAAAGTAGTAATGAAATTAAATTTATTATATTTTAAAAGCATAATTATTTTCGTATTCTAAATACAAAATTAAAAAATATGCATATAATCACTGATTAAATCCTTTACTACTATAAGAGAGTTTAAGAACGAAATGTTTTTTTTTTTTTTTTGATATTGAAAGAACAACAAAATTTTATTAAATGAATACTGCGCCATCTGTAAAAAGTCGCCATTTTTCCCCGCATTTTGCTTGGGTTTTTTCTTGCTTTTCTCTTTTTTTTTCTTTGTTTGTTTATTTTATTTATAATGGTGGAATATAATTTGTGTATAAAATTAATTGTTCTTGCATTTTTATGATTTACAATAATTTAGAAGACACTGTGTTCCTTATAAATTGATTCTTCTTTTCTTTTTATTGAAACATACACAAATGTACATACTTAAAATATTTAAAAAAAAAAAATTTTTTTTTTCAAATTCTTTTTATAAACTTTATTATTTTTTCATTAACAAATGTTTTTATTATTATTACATAAAGTTCACAAAATATTTTTGTTTATTTATTTGAAAGAGAATGAAATTTTTGTTTTGTGGTTTTCTATAGTTCTTTTATTCTCCTTATTATTTCCTACTATTACTCTTCTTGTTTATGAATGTGTAAATAACATTTTAAATATTTTTGAGAGACAAATTCAATTTTTTGATTTTTTTCTTCTGTGCTTAAGATATTCTAAGCACTTCTTTAGTTTTTCGAAAATATTTTTTAAAAAATCAATGCCCTTAAGTTTACTACTTATGATTTGTGTTTGTTTGTATAAAATTTCATGTATTATTCCAAGGAATAAAATTATTATGAATAAAAAATTACCTTTTACAATTCCAAATTCATAAATGCTTAATTAGTACCAAAATTTTTTTCTGTGTAAAACTATCCATCGAATAAAATAAATTTTTATGTAAAAATGGTATTTTAAATTAAATTTTTAATTTCAGTTCTTTGTTTTTAAAATCAAGTGTCAGTAAAAGGTTAAAAAATAATTTTTAAATCACATTCTCATTGAAAAAAATTGAAAATTTTTTTATAAAAGGAAAAAAAATTAAAATTTGTAGGTTTTTTAAATCTTGTGAATAAGAAAGCAAAAATTTTGTCCATAAAATTTTAAAATTAAAAATTTAATATAAAAGAAATAAGAATTTTGTATTCGGCAATTTGTAAAACAAAAATCAACATTATTTTCTCAACAAAAAAAAAAAAAATAGTTGAAAATTTGTTAAAAAAGAAAAAAATCTTTTTGTTTGTGTGCGTGCAAGAGAGAACAAAATTTTCTACAAATTATTAAAGGAAATAAAAACAAACATTGCAGCTATTCAAATAATTATAACTACTTACAATAAATGTAGAAAAGCAGAGCAGCATTTTTTAATCAACATTTTGCAGTCAAAAGAAAAATTTTTATCTAAAAAACAAAAAAAAAACCAAAATCATCAAAAATTAATAAATGCCCAGGCAATAATAAATTTTAATGTGTTTAAAACTACACAATAACCGGCAAACTACAATATTTTAATCTACAGAATTTTTACCGAATTTTAATCATTTTCGAGAGAGAATTAAAAACAAAATCTCTCACTCAATTTCTGCTTATAAAAATTTCATATACAGAAAGAAAATTATTCAATAAATTCGTTCATTGTTCATTATAATCGTGTGTGTTTTAACATAAACAAACACAAATAAACAAATAGAATATATATATATGTATATATGTATATATTCATTCTGTTTCATTTGTATAATTGATGATTACATTTGTTTATATAAAATAAAAAAAATAAAAATTTTTTTTTTTTGGAGCCATGCTGTAAATGCATATGCTTATGTATATAAAATGTATAGAAATTAAGAATATATATATATATGTAAAAAAAATCTTGTGTAAATGTGTATGTTTATATGTTCAATACTTAAAAATATAATAAAATATTATTTTTTTTCTAATTCTACTACTGTAAATTTATTAAAAGCGAAAAAAAATACATAAATAATTAAAATTTAAAAAAAATTTTTTTTTTACATAAAACAAAATACGACAGAGTGTAAAAAATTTTTTTATGTAAAAGTTTCTAAATAATCTAAATATTACATAAATAAATAAAATTCTGATATTTGATCTCAAAATTTCTCTATAAAAATGAAGTGAAAATTTTTCATAAAAAATAAATAAATATTGTGTAATTTGTTCAAGTAAATATTCTTAAATGTAGAAAAAAAAATTTAATTAATATTAATAGCAATTAATTAAAATAAATAAGGTGTAATTTAAAAAAAAAGTAAATAAAATTTGTATTTAAGTAATTTAGCTGAAAATTAAATAATCAACCTTTTGTAATTTGTAATAATTTTATTGTGGATAAAGGAAAATTTTTAGAAATAAAGAAAAAAGTTATAAAAGAATATAGTGATTTAAATTCAAAAATTAAAATATTTTAAAAAATAAAAGAAAAATTAAGAAAAGAAGCAAATTCAAAAAAAAAAATTAATAAGGCAATAACAAATAAATTTGAATAAAAATTTATCATTGCCAATAGTTTATTGTTTTTTGATAAATTGAATTTGAAAAATTAAAAAGGAAAAGTGTTTTTGTCCTTTGGGAATACTTACTTAGCTCTACAATTTCATGAATTTTGTAGAATTATAGGAGTTTATCCATTCTTTAAATTTTTTCGAACGAAAAAGAAAGGTTTGTTTAAATATTTATTAATTTATTCATGTTTGAGTTTATGACTAGGTACCTACTGTCTTGATAGGTACCTAATGTCAATAATGTAAAACAATCTTAGGTACCTATTGTACTTATATATTGCACAATAATATTTATTACTTGGTTATGTATTAAAGGGTAAATAAACTTTTTAATTTAATTCCTGATCTGTGTCTTAAACACTGCTAACTAATTTTCTGGTTTAATGACAGAAAATGACGTTTTTCTGACATTTAAATTTAATAAATATTGTCATTTTATGAAATTTTATAAAATATTTAAATCTACACGTCGAATAAAAACTCGCAATTTCTTCCTCTTCTATTCTTTTGAATAGTTAATAAAGTAATTTAAATCCATAAAATGATACTTCGAGGTGTTACTTTTCTATTCCCAATAAGTTTGTGCATTAGAAGTTGCTTGAAAAATATAATTTCCTTACTACGGTCGAACACGGATATTCTTATATGTATGCTTGTATTTTCCGGTAATCAATTCTATTTAACAGATATTTGCGTTAGCGTTTGAAAATTTACATAGAAACGTACATACATATATGAGACTAAACTTACAAGAAAATTAGACTAAATTTTTAACCGTATTCTTAATATCCGTATTCGACTGTTCTTTAATATTGCATACTAAATACACTCAATTTTTTTTTTAATTAACTTACAAATTTTATGCTTTTTACTTTCAGAATAAATTTTGAAAAAAAACAGAAACAAAAGTTTCACGTTATTACACACAAACCAACTACGAATAAAATAATCGCGTTCGCGTTTTTAATTTTTACTAAAATAAAAAAAATAGTGTCTTTTTTTTTTGTATTTAAATACGAATCGCATACTTATCAAATAAAATATTTGTATTATCGCGTCGTGTTCGCGGCTCGAGAAATAATAAAAAAGTAAATTAAAAAAAAAAAACAAAACAAATCTTTTAAATTTTTTTTCTACCCGAAGTTATAAAAAAAGCCGCCAAAATAGAGCTGTTAAGCAATAACATTATCACTCAACCACACATGAAATTACTTGGTGGTGGTGGAAGTGGTAATGATGATCGTGGTATTATAAGAGAAGGTCCAGGACGTACTCAAGATGATGCTGCTGTTGGATATGTATTCCAGAGACCACAGCATCCCCATGAAGTCGAATTTCCTCAATTCACTCAAAAACAACCGAGATGGACTTCTGGGGATGATCATTCCATTGATGTAAGTATGAATTATATTGTTTGTTTTTTATTAATTTTTTTTTTTTGCTGTATTCAAGTATTTTAATTAAATTTAATTTTTGACGGGGTATGTACAAAATTATAGGGGCATTGGTAATATTTTTCTATTATATTTTACGTTTATTGTAGAATTTTCTATATGTATTTCTAGGCTTTACAGAATTATATTTTTTAAACCCTAAAACTACCCACAAATTCTTACTGTTTAATTTTGGTTTTCTTTAAGAACGTTAAATTGGTTTACGTTTCGGAATTCTAATTCATTATTGTTTTTAACTTAAATATGACCGACCTGGTTTTTAATTTAAGCGGATAATTAAATTATAATTCACATTAACATTAGTTGCATTGCATACAATAAAAGATGTTATGTGATGGTACCAAATTTCGCATATCGAATTGTCTGTGGAAATGCACCTCTGCACAGTAGCGTAAATAAATTACATACTTTTAGAGAGATGCCTGGCCGTTTGTTATTCTGTCAGTGCAGATCTGTACCTCAAGTTTGGCTGAACCGATTTACACGAAAATTTATATCCAAGTTGATGAAATTTAGCGATAAATTGATCACATTGATCACTTTTTTTTGGATATGTCAGATTTCGGGAAATTGAACCTTTAATACACGCCGATTTTACGTTTAGGAAAATTGAGTTAGTAATTTGAGCTATGTTTGCTGTTGGTGAAATCTCGGTAAGAGCAAAATTTTTATTTGCTGGTATTTTCACAAAAACCTTTCTAGCGACCGTAAAATTTGAAAGAAATATTTAAGAGGCATTTTCGTAATCTTCTGCATATTTTCGCTAAACAATCCGCCTTGCGATCGATTATGTGCTGACCACATCAGTTTTTTTTTTTTTATCAAGTTAAACTCAGATTTAATTTATTAACTAAAACATTGAGTATACCGCAAAATATTTAAACTATTAAAAAAAAATTACTTATCGCATTTCTTGGTGAATAATTAAACGAAAATAATAAGTTAAACAAAAAAAGAAAAATAAATTATTTTGTTTTTTTTTTTATTATTTTTGTTTTTTACCACCTAAAATCAAGAATTTATTTTCTTTACTTGTATTGAACTTAAGTACACAATATGTAAATGAACATGTTGTTTTCTGTAATTAGCTTTACATTCTTGATAATATTATATAAGTAATCACTTGTAAAATTATAAGCTTTTTAAAAAATTGTTATCAAACATTAAAATACACCCTATTATATGGAATATTCAAAGTACCCAAATTGCCAATGAAAAATGGATTTATGGCAATATTTTTTGTAAATATACAGGAATTTAATTTTTAATCAAAATTGAAATTTTGTGTAATATTATTTATGATTTTGGAACAATGTAAAAAAAAATTGATGAAAATTAGGAAATTTGTGACAATTTTCCAAAGTAACTGCTGCTTTTTTCGAAACATTCGAAATTTTTCACTTTTCTACCAACTTTCGTACAGTAAAGAGTTACATATGTAATTATAATCTAATTTTTGAAAAAAATTTGGAAAATTTGTTACGATATTGTGCTTATTGTTCAGAACTAATTTAGGCGTACTTAAACCAAATTTTGAAATCATTTAATTTTAGAGCTACATATGTACATACAGATATATATGTATATATACTTATATTTACTTCGAAATTCGATTTAAATTAATAAGTTCGAATGAGACAAATTTTTGGTTCTGAAAATATTTTGTTGTTTCAAAATAAGGGCTCAGACAAACATGCAATTTTTAGTTTTGCAATTACTACTTGATTGTAAAATTTTGCGGGCACATCTACGCAACTAAACTATTCTATAAAAACTGATTGATTGCTTATATACAAACTGTTTGATTGCTTGCGATCATACAGTTGAATGTGTGCGTGCTTGAATATTACTTTATGGAATAGATACAAATAAGCAATCAACCAGTTGCCTAACTAAAAATTGCATGTCTGCTTGAGCTCTAAAATTCTCATTATTTCTCATTAACATTTTTCATTTATGCAACATGATTTAAATGTTTTCGTTTTAGCTTTGTAAATTTCATTTATTTATTTACAAAAAACAAAAATTTTAACATAAATTTCATAAATTCATTTTAAATACTTTAATCTACATTTATATAATAAATGTATTTATATTTTAATGCAGAGATTCCTAATTAAATTTATTGTCCTTCAAAAATCAAAAATCATAAAAAACAAAAAATACAAAATTTAAATGAGGAAAATTCTATATAAATTTTTATGTATGTATGTATGTATATGAATTTTGAGAAAATATAAATTTTATATCCTTGCAAAGGATGTTTTTATTTTTCATTTCACATACATTTTTTTGTCACTATGTATTCAAAAAAAAGGGATACATAAAAATAATAAGTGGATGCAGCCCCGTTTTATCGGTAAACATCAAAAATATAAAAAAAAACATAGAGAATAAATAAAAAAAATAGCGAGATTTTATTTTCCTTTTCATTTTTTGAATTTTAAAAATATTCTAGTTTTAGTTGATTTTCATTCCGGTTTTTTTTTTGCTTCCTTTTTCACCGAATATTTTTATTTAAATAACAATTTCATTTGAAAGGGAAAAAATAAGGTTGAGAAAAAAAAATGTAGGGGTAATCCATAATTAACTTAACAAAAATATTTTATGCATAAGAAGTTTTTATGATTTTCAAAATAAAAAAATATTGATTGAGATCAAATTGTGATAATGAGTTGAAGATGAAAAGATGTGAAGAAATTTGTTCTATATGATTTCAAGGCAATTTTTAATGATGACAAAAATTCTGTTCTAAAATAAAATTTTTAAAGAAATTCACAAAAATTAATGGAATTATTTAAAGTAAATACTTACTGTTTAAATTCGAAAATTTCAACAATTTGGAAAATCTATTTATTGATTCTCATAATTTTTTCAACATTTGATGGAATTTGATGGAAGGAAATATGTAGTAATTTGGCAGATGAGCATAAAATATTTATGTTATACTTTATTAAGTAAATACTTACAGAATATTCACTAGTTTATGAATTATGACTTATAGACTTACACGCAAAATACAAAAGGACAAGTTTTTTAAAATTATCAAAAAAAAATATTGAATTCTCTCCTCATGGAATTCTTTGTCTAATTAATACATAAGTAATATTGAATTATTATTCATGTAATTCTTTTATATTATTGACCTATTAAATATTTATATACTTAATGCATGACAATTATACAAATGTAAGAAAAAAAGTATAACAATAAAAAAAAATTTATTACGAACATTCTGTATATTCACATAAATTGAACTAACTATATACATGTTCGATCAAACATATTCATAGTCCGGCCATAATAATATTATATGTAATTGTGTTGATACAACAGTTTGATATTAGGAATTCTCTGGTCAATATAGTTGATTTTTTCTGTGTTATGGGGATTTTATTTGTCATATGTCACTCTACAGCCAGAATTTAATTTCTTACAAATCTAATTTTTAATTGGAAATAAAATTTTTTGATTTAGGTAATAATTGACATTTTAAGGTTTTCGAAAATTCGTGATTAATTGAGAGTACTTTCTATTCCATAAAATTTCAATTAATCGTTAAAAAAAATTTTTCCACTGTGTGCCGTGGGACCTAACTTAGCTTAATATGTTGTGTCCCTTTACTATTTTGTTTTGGATTTTGGATTCGGTATGAATTTACAGTAAATATTAAAGTTTTTTTTTTATATTTTTAGTGTAACTATATTTTTATTTTAATTTGTTGATTTTCCATATATTAGGTTTTTTCTTACGATATTCCATTATTTGCCATAAGTTCGGTATCTGATGTTTACGAAAAATATTTAAATACTTTATAAGAGATACAGTTACTTTAAATATTTTCTCATTTTATATTTTATTTTTTTTTTTTTTCATTTTTTTTATAAATTATATATATGTATATGAGAAATAAAGGGGGACACAAAGTTTGAATTAAGTTTTCCTTCATTTTCATTTCTCATGCAAAAAAAATATTGTGATTCTTGAAAAAATGATTTTTTTTTTTATTTTTATTTATTATATTTGTTGTTTTGTTGCGGATGAGTTTTCTCTTTTCTTTTTTTTTGCATAAAAGGCGACGTGACTGTTCGAACAGGATGTACATAGATCTCTATAGGGTTAAGCAATGATTTTTTGTTCGTACATTTTGAAATTTTTGTTTTTAGGATTTAAATTTTATTTTTAGTTTTCATAGACTTCGAATCTGTTTTTATTTATTTTTTTTTTTTTACTAAAGTAGAAATTTAAATATTTTAAGTTGAATAAATTATTTTTTTTGTTTTTGAATGAAAATTTTAACAAAGCGATTAACAATATAAGATTCTGAAAAGGATTCGTGCAATTCAGTTTTTTTTTTATTTTTGAATATTCATAGCGTTTAAGAAATTTCTTATATGTTTTAACAGTCGATTCCCCCTGGTCTTAGGATGAGGTTCAATGAACGGACAAAAACCAACATTATGTTTCAATATTAAAATATTCATTTATATTTTTGAATTTTCCTAAAATTAATGGAAATAAGACTTGGTAGTTAACGGGCTAAATAAATTGAATTTTTTCGTTTCTTTCTGAATACGTTTGAACCGTTTCAAGTTTATTGTCAAATTTATTGTAAGCACAAGTTAAATATTAAGTATTGTTGCTTATGATTATTATGCTCAAACGTAAATTAGTTCATGTACCTATAGTTTTGCAATTAATTTTTTATTTCATTTAGAAACTCAAACTTTAATTGAATGTTTGTTTATTCTTCACTATGTACCTATATTTGCCAGTATATTATAATTTACTTGCGTTTTTTCGAAATAAACTTTAATGTAATTTTATTTTTGCAATACAAAAAAAAAAGGATGGTTTAAATAAATGAAACACGCATTAAATGAACCAAGTACAAAAATGAACTTAAAATAATAAAACAAATGTGATGATTGGGACGAAGG